CTGGAAGGGAGGAGGCAGGGCGAGGGGCCAGGAGGGAGGGTCCTTCTGCCTGAGCAGAGGCTCTAGGGAGGTAGGGTCAGCAAAGGCTTCCCAGGTGAGTAGGAGGGCCACTCTGGCCAGGACGACCCTGTCCCCTGGGGGTGGCTTGCTTCAGTGCAACAGTGAAAGTCCCCAGCGGGATGCCCATGGGGGCGAGGGTCCTGCAGGGTGTCCCAGGAAGCCCTAGGGGCGTTGGTGACTTGTTCCCAGATTGGCTCTGGGGCGAGAGCAGAGCCTGATGGGACCTCCTGCCAGCACGTGGTGCACCCCAGGTCCCCCACCTCCCCTGTCCCCAGGACTGACCAGGGCCCCATGCAGAGCTGGCTCAGCGTCTCTGTCTGCTGTCCTGGTGATCAAGGCACCGTGTTTGTAACCCACGGGACAATGAAGAGCTCTCACTGGGTGCTAATGGCCGTCCCTGCCCCTGTCACAAGCTTCCTTAAGGAACGCAGGGCTGCAGCCTTGGGTCCAGCCCAGCTCCTGCCCCGGCACTGACCGGTTCCCTCTGACCCTGGGCTTGGGGGTCAGAGGGGCCTCCCACAGGCCTGCATTCTGAGGCAGGATCCCTGGGCCCCTCCCGGGGCAGAGATCTGAGTCCTGACACCGCAGGCCCGTTTCTTGCGGGGGAGTTGAGTTTGTCCCCGAGCCTGGCAGGAGCAGGGCCTCCCGGGAGGCTGCTCCCAGGTCTGAGGGGTCACTTGGCCTGTGGAGGATGGAACGAAGGGGGAGGTTTCTGGCATCCTTGAATCTTTCTTTGTGAAAATCTAAATGTTTTCTAAACAGTTATTAAAGGTGCTCAGCCAAGTGCTGTTTCAAACCAGACCTGACATGTTAGCGTGGACTCCTTTTTATCCCAGATTGCTCATGGAAAGGGTAGTGCCCCAGATCAAGGCCTGCTCCTGCACACATCATGGTGGGGGGCCGTGCCCGGTCAGGAGAGCCCACCCTGCCCACCCACCCCAGGGCCTGCTCCTCAGCTTGGCACCCAAATGCCCCTGGGCTGATGGGCTGAGCTGCCCCTCGGGGTGCCCGATTCAGGCCAGTTGCGTCTCCAGGGTGCCATAAGGAAACAGATAACCCCTTGGACTGTAACAGGTGAGAGTCTGAGGAAGGGCTGTGTCCACATGTGGGCAGGCTGGCGGGAATTCTGCTAGGGCTGGAGAGGCTCCCAGGGCCAGCGGCAGTGGGCAGCCCGGAGCACTCTCTGCCGCCAGGTGCAGGGGAGCAAATGCAGATTCCAGAAAGCCAGTGGGGGGACTCCCAGGGGCTGGGGCCTTCACCAAAGGGACACAGCCACCCAGCCACCACTACGGCCACCTGTGCCCCAGCAGGCAGGAGGGGGCCCACCAGGCACTCAGCCACTCAGGGCCCTCAGTAGCCAGGCCTGGCAGACAACTTGCGTCTCACTGGCCAGACTCAACCCAAATCCATTCTGTGGGGACAGAAAGCAGGTGGGGAAGGGTGGACAGGTCACCAGGATGGGTGAATGAAGGCACATAAACATTCAAGAGACCCTCATGTAAAACAGACATTGATGTGCTAATCCACACACGGAATGTCTGTGGAGCGACCACACCGCCCTCTCCCCTTACTGGGGAGACAAGGACTTACTAGGTTTGGGGCTACGGACTCCAAGGAAGGGGGATGGATCACCCTGGAGCATAGGAGAAGCCTCCCAAACCCTCAAGCCCACGGGGCTGAGCCCACCTGCCCAGCCTCAGATGCTCATGTCCGCCAGGTGGGTACATATCGTCTCCCATGGATAATGCGGGGAAAGTGCAGCGACACCTCTACCAACAGGCCTAAGACTTCAGTGACCAAACAATGTCACTCAGGGCCCTCAGTAGCCAGGCCTGGCAGACAACTTGGGCTTAGTTCTCCCTGACTCCAGATGACCCAGGGCCCATGGATGCTTCCAGCCTGTTCCACTGGACTTGGGTTTTCCATTACCTCCCAGAAAAGACCCTTTTATTATGGAGCGTCTTCCCTGTACTGGGCAGGAACAGTGATTGTTGGAATCAGACAGCTGATGCTCCCACGTAAATATTTGTAATCACAAAGGTTTGTCAGATGACAGTTCTCTGTCGTCCATGCAGACCACTACGCCACTTGGTTGGTCAACCAGTTGGCCCAGGGGAAAGTATGCTGGTGACTGGAAATCTGTCAGTGGCAGGAAGAGGATGGTCACAACAGCCACATACAAGGTATGGGTGTCCCCTCCGCCAGGCTCACGCCCCTCATCTTTGACCCCAGAGCCACTGAGCCAGACGTGTGGCTGCTGTTGCTGAGTGTGCAGCTGATTCTGCTGGCCCCGGATGAGGCCCGTGTGGGCCAGCCAGGCAGCGAGCTGCTTACCAAGGATGTGGGCTACAGCGGAATCGAGGATGTCACCCCCTGTTTGGAACAGACACCTCAGGAGCCGAGTGACTTCACAGAGCTAGGAGTCTGTCCCGGGGTCCGTTAGGGCCAGGGGCTGGGCTTATTTTTACCATGATCACATTTAAGAATGGGATTCTTATCGAAATGGCCAATAGCCACTCATAACTTCCATTGAAGTGAGAGGTGAGTCGAAGACTAGTTTTTTAAACTAACCTATTGAAAACATGGAAACAATTAGCAGAAAATAACCCGAGAGACCCGCTGTGAAGAAGTCCTTAACCCTTCCCCCGTCAGACCCAATCCGGGAGGCACGTGGCTTATTTCTGGCACTTGACCCTGGCTTGGCCCATAATGGAAACTGAGTAAAGTTCATTTAGTTGAGCTGAATCTGTGGATTCCTCAGAGGGGCTGACGTCCACGAGGTTCTGTGACCTGGGCCCGTTCCAGGACCCGAGCCTCGGTGTTCCCATCTGTGCAGTAGGGACAGTCACACAGTTGGAGAGTGAGATGATGTCATGTGCTGGGGAGCTCCAGTAAACAACAACGGCGGCCTGCCTGCGCACCAGGAGGCCACACAGCAAGCTGACTTCAGGCTCCCGCTGTTTCCGGGGCAAAGGAGCTTTTATTCCCATGACTTCATCGGCAAAGTCCTTCCTTTGGAGGAGAGTGGGAACGGCTTGGCTGCATCAGCCCACCGGGGGGCCCGGGCATGAGCATCAGGTTTCAGCCAGGCGTGAAGGCGCGTGGGGGAGGCCACCCCGCATTCCGCCTGGGTCCCTGCCTGCAGCCGCTGCTCAGTACCCCGCCCCCCGGGATCCGTTGGCGCGGCCCCACTGCTGCCCCCACCCCCAAGCCCGTGGGCTGCTGCTGGGGAATGGGTGTCCAGGGCCATCAGAATCGTGTTTCTGTGGGTCCTTGACCTGGGTGGTTCTTTGCTGGGCTCTGTCCTCAGCTGAGGGGATGCCATTTTTTGAAGTGTGACCCCAGAAACACACAGGGGCCCAGCCCTGCGAGCTCTCCTGCTCCAAGGACAGGCTTCCGTCACTCGGGGTAGTGTTACAGCGGGCTGGACCAGCACCAGAACCGATTCGATCTGGGCCCTTCGGGAGGCCCATGACATCACCAGGATGGTCCACTGTTTGGGAACACATGGCAACAGCTCCTGTCCTCACTGCTGGCCTCTGTGGGCTGGGCCCTCACTGCGGGGCGGGAATGACGTCACACGGACCCTTCAAGGACCACAGGCCCCAAATTGGGTCCCTCCGTCCCAGGTGTTGCCAAAGGAAACAGCTTGAGTTTCAAATTCCCAGAGTTCAGGTTGGGCCAAAAGGTGTCTGACCCCGAAAACAGCCCCTCACACCTCTGTGAGTGGAGTCCAGGCCAGCGACCCAGAGGTGGGGCTCAAGCAGCGCGGTCCCCATGCTGGGGGGGGGCGCATCACTGGCCCCCTCCTCCCGGCCTCGGCCTCGGCTGCTCACGCCGCTCATATGAGTGGGTCTCAGACAAGGGCCCAGGTCAATGGTTGTCATTATGCCCACTTTACAGACCAGCAAACTGAGTCTTAGAGGGATGAATGCCAAAGGCCCAGATGTGCCTCCTCCAAAGTCACATACAATCTTTGCTCTAGGTGGCCAAGCAAGAGCCAGGGTCGCTGAGCAGACCCGCTGCTGGGTCAGTCCTGGCTCCCACCATGCTCTGCCATGGTCCCTGGAGCCCAGAGCATCTGTCTTCACACAGAGGCACGTGTCCATGACGTGGTGCTGATGGCCGCTGTCAGGGACCCTCAGCACCCGGGCAGCTGGAAGGCGAGCCGGCCTCACTCACCGGGAGGTACCCACCTGCTCGCTCACCAGGAGGCACCGTGATCTCAGGCCGCCCCAGAGCAGGGCCGAGGGCACGTGCACCAAGCTGCTCTCTCAGGAAGACAAGTGGACTCCAGGGAGCACCAGGACCAGCTGGCCACCACCAGGTGTAGGTCAGAGCCCGGGCTTGAATGGGGCCCCCTCTTTCCTCCCACCACTCAGGCTGCCCCATGGCATTTCCCCACCCCACCCCCAAGAGGGGAAAACTCTGTGGACAGCCCCCCCTGGGTTCAAGAGTGTCCCGCCTCCTGTGTTTCCCTGGGCTGCCCTCGCAGCCAGACCCTGAGAGGAAGTCTACCCCTCCGGGAAACCTGTTTGTCTTGAGGAAAACACAGGGCCACGTTTTCTTCAATTATGTTCAAGCTCATCACGTAGCTCCTATCTCTCACCATCTAGAACAGGAAGGACCACGAAGGGCAAAACATGTGGTTGTGAAGATGTGGCCCTGCCCACTGGGCAGGAGGGCCTGGCCCCGGCCCATAGCCCAGGCTGTCCCTGGACAAGACACCCCTTTGTGGGCTGACCAGTGGGGTCTGTGAGAAGCAGGGGGTCCTGGGGTGGCCGTCCTTTTGCGGAAACATGGAGATGCCATTCACAGAGCTGCAGCTCCTGGGGACATGAACCCCTTGGTGCCATTGGACTTCAGGGTCCAGCGCAGAAACCTCAGTGTCCTGTGGTCCCAGACAAAGGCTCCCTGAATAAAGGACACTGAGCAAAGTTTTAACACTTAACACTTTAGCACATGCCCGGCACATAACACGGCATTGCAAAGGTCCACACACCGCATTTCTCAATGACTTTCCTTGTGGGGCCACCCGAGAAATCCTTAAGTCTTTACTACACCCTCCTTGGGATTGGGAGAAAACGTCCCTATTTGAAACAAAACTGTTGAATATTTGCAAATGAAATAAATTCATATATTCTGTTGAGTACATATTAAGTAAACCAGTATTTCTCAACTGTCGTTTTGAAGACCTGCAATTTCTACAGAAAATTCAGTTTTTTCATTCCACGGATAATATATTTTTTTTAAATGTTGGAAAGATAAAGACAGGACTCTTGTTTCGCAAACCTTATTTGCTTTTGAAAGATATCCACCTAAAGTAAATCCATGGGACGTGCTGACCTCTGGGGAACAAATTCTCAGGGTATTATTTTCTTTAAACACCTCCACAAAAAATTCTATTACCGTCCCCACATCTTACAGGAAAAGAGGCAGAATCACAGGAACAAGTGACTCCTGATACCAGGATTTTTTGGAACTGTGAATTTTTTCCTGTCTTCCCCATCCCACCCGACCTGACAGCAGGAAGCCAGCCACTGGAACGTGCCTGTGAGCCGTGGACATCAGGTTGCCTCGCACAGGCAAGCTGTGGACTGAGGATCACCCAGGCTGGGAGGGCACTGCCTGCTTTCAGTTCGGGCTGCCACACTCTGAAATAAGACTGGGCGAGGCCTCCTCTCGAGGAGTGAAAACCTTCCCCTTGTGGGTGGCAAGCCCTTGGAAGGCGCATTCCTCAACTATGCCTTCCCCCACTCCTGAACAAAACGCACTGGGTACCCACCAGGTGCAGGCCCCCCCAGGGTGGGGCACAGAGAGCCTGGGGGACTGCCGTGGGGTGCCATTACCTGGGGACAGACAGGCAGTGGGCATATAATAGAACACACAGCTCAGGGAGGGGGGCAGAGGCTGGCTCTCTCCAGGGAGGCCTGGAGTTCAGGCCTACCGGGGTTGGTCCACCTGCCCAGTGGGGTGCCCTGTGCTGACTTCACTGGGGAGCAGGCAGCCCCAGCACCCTGCTTGATGCCCCCAGCCCAGCCTCAGTGTGCCCTAGGCAGTGCAGGCTGGCTGCCTGGGGTTGAGGATTCACTGGAAGGCCCCCCAATCCTGGCCTCTATGGTGCGCCACGGGGAAGGGCAGCCCATCTCTGGGTTCAAGCTGGCCATGGAGCCATAGAGCCATGGAGAGAAGGCAGCCCTGGAAGGAAGGGGGCCCCGCTGGGAAAGAGGCGCCCGAGGAGGGGCCTTGAGGGTTTTCCCCCTCCTGTGTGTCTCCAGTCCTGGACTTCTCCTGCGGGGCCAGAATGCGGAGGCTCCCTGAGGACCTGTGGGACAGAGAGGTAAAGAAATGCACTGCCCGCTGGGAGTGGGGAGGTGCCCCGACTCCTTGCAGGAAAAAGGGTTCAAGAGGCCAAGGATCCAGGGCCGGGAACTGGGGATCAGGGGCACCCCACCTCTGGACAGCGCAAAGGGGCGGACACCGTAGCCGGGAGCTGCAGAGGAGCCGCACTCGGCAGGAGGGGGCGCTCAAGTCACCGCAAGCAAGTGCTCACACAGCCTCCTTCCCGCCCCAACTTCCCCCTCCGGCTGCAGCGCCCCTTCCCTCCCTGATCCCCCGGCGCCCCCCTCCCGCACCCTCGGTGCAGCGCGCGCCCGGGCCGGGAGGGGGCGCAGGGCCGTGACGCGCGGCCGCGGGCGAGGCGGGGGATTCAAGCGCGTTATAAGGCGCGGAGCCGGAGAGCGATTCCGAGACGCCGCGCTCGGAGCCTGGAGAGACCAGCCGTCCGCATGGCCTGCGCCCGCCGCCTGCTGCTAGTCCACGCGGGCCTGCTGGCAGTCGCCGCGGGTCTCGGCTCCCCGGAGCCCGGCGCGCCCGAGGGGAGCCGCGCAGGCGAGGAGCCACTGCCGGGGAACGAGCTGCCCGCCGGCCCCCGGGACAGCCGCGCGGGGCCGTCCGCCCGCCCGCCGGTAAGACGCCCCGGGCGGCCAGTGCGCTCCGGAGACCTCCGAGCCTCAGTTTCCCCACCCGGAGCCCGCACGGCCCTGAGGTCCAGGGTGCACCGAGGGCGCTTGCGTCCGGGCAGGGGCGCGGTCTGACTTCGGGGGCTTTTTTCTAAAGTGCGGGTAAAAACGCTTAGCTTGTGGGGCTCCGGAGAAACCCAGGTCTGGACGCCGCCCCTCCGCGCCGCCGGGCGCTGTAACAGCCGGCCTTGACCTTGGCTTTGGGCCGTTCTTTGGCGTTAAAGCAAAGTTCTACTAGGTCTGGGAAATGCCTTTTCTTTTGGGACAAAAGGAGGTTGAGAAATAAGTAAAATGTAAATTCTGAAATCGCACATTTGCGAAAGTGTGAGATTTCTGAGACCCGCCCCCTCTGTGTGTGGTTCCCTCTGAAAAGCAGAAAGTGCCTCCTGCGCTTGGGGAAGGGCGGGGTGCCCGACCCTCTAACGATGTGACTTCTGCTATGAGGAGGTGACCTTTAGCTCAGCTCTGCCCCTTCTTCCCGCGGGGCCCGGTGGGACTGGGGGCTTCAGAGGGGACCTTAGGGTGGGTGGGGCCTTCCAGACGGGGCAGGGGAGGGTGACTGAAGGCGGTTTGTGCTCCTTGCATCCTGAAGGTGCTCCTGGGCAGCCCAGAGGGCCTCGGCATCCCAGGCCAAGGGCACCTCCACTCAGGAGGGCAGGGCGGCAGCCAGGCCTGCAGGCTCCCTGGGAGGGGCCCCCAGAGCCGTCCTCAGCCACACCCTGCAGGGCAGGTGGCCAGATGTCTGGGGTTGACAGGACATGGGGTGGGGGGCGCTCAGGTGCTTCCTGATGGGGTTCTGGCCTTGGACCCTCTTTGGGGGCCGAGGTAGCACCGGAGGCTCCCTGCTCCTTCCTGAGAGCCCCTCAAGGCTGCAGACCTCAGCTGGCCAGGGCAGCTGCCCGACTGCAACCCACATGCCTCAGACCTGTCTCCAGGTACCCCAGGCTGACGGGGCTCCATTGTTTCTGCACCCCGCAAACCAGACTGGGGTCTGAGCCCAGCCAGGAGGATCAGCCTGGCAAGCAGGGCTCTGTGAGGCAGGGAAGTGGGATTGGGTCCTGTGTCCATGGAGAGCACCCATTGGGCAACGCCTGGCAGGGCCGCTGCCCAGCAAGACAGGGTGCGGCAGGTGCGCGCAGGCACTCAGGCCTTTCCCCGCCTGCCCTTGGGCTCCTCCCACACAGAACCCCCCGTGTCTCAGCTCCAGAAGGAAGGTCCCAGGGTCCCTGCAGAGCGGCCGGGAGACCACCAGGCCTGTCTCTGATGAAAGGGCCAGGCCAGCCCTAAACCCTGGGGTCCTTCCATCAGCCACCAGTGTACCCATGACCTCATCTAAGCCCTCTTGGGCCGATTTCCTTCCCAGCTGGCGGCCTTGCCTGGAGTGCCCCCTTGCCCCACCCCCACCCCTCCCACTGCCCTATGGGCCAAAGGCCTCTCCCTGGAAGGTACCTCCTGGAACTTTCCTCAGTGTCAGGACTAGTCAGGGTGCAGCACCCAGAGAATGGCTGTTTCTGGATCCAGCACTGAAATTGCTGGGGTCAGGCATCTCGGAGGTCCTGGGAAGACACGCAGTGTCACGTCCCCTGCAGGGGCCTTGAGTCATGACACCTCGGTGCTGGCCCACCTGGTCCCCCAGATGCTCTGGACTGTAAGCCGTGGCAGCCCCGAGGGCTGACATCAGCCCCCTTGAGACCCCTGGCAGTGGAGTTTGCATGGGGCCTGCTCGTAGCTGGGGTCCCCCTTCATCAGTCACCTCTTTCTGAGCACCTGGGGGCTAGCAGTCGGATCCTCCTGGTGACCCTGCAGCTGTTATGGAGGGAGGCTGGCAGAGGTCTGGGGCCCAGCACTGCTGGAGCCCACCCACCACAGAGCCACATGCCTGGTCTTTCTCCGCCCACAGGCCAGGCCCTCCCAGAGTCCAGGCCTTGTGAGGCCTGTTCCCTAGGGGTCGTGCTCAAGTGCCGACAGGAGGCGGGCGGGGGCTGGGAGCTGTGCTGTCTTTGAGGGCACCGCGGTTGCCGGGGACAGAGGCCCAAGGGTGCCGACAGCCAGCCCCGCACAGCGTTGTCTGCTCAGCGGGTGCCCGGGGAAGCGAGCCAGGCCCGCGGCTGCTGTGTTCCAGGAGCCTGCCGCAGAGCACGCGCGCAGCATCGACCCCCGCCGTGCCTGGATGCTCTTCATCAGGCAGAGTGACAAGGGCGCCAATGCCAAGAGGGGGAGCGGAGGCAAGGTCAAGAAGCTGGAGGTGAGTACGAGCCCGTGTGTGTGTGTTCTGGTTTTCAGTGGGTGGGGGGTATGGGGCCCTGGCACCTGCAGGGTGCCCACTCTCAGCCTAGCCAGGGACTGGCACCTAGCCCTGATGTCTGACTCTTACCTTGGGCCCCAGAGAGGGCTTTGTCCCCTGGGGTGGGGAGCTCTGGGTCACACTGTGCTGCCAAGTCTGGGGTCAGCCTTCACTGTCGACCCAGGGCCAGCCTCACCCTGCCCCAGATCTGACCCTGTGATGGAGGGCCAGGCCTTGAGCCTGAGCCAGGTGTACTGCAGGGCCGTCGTCCCTGCCTCGTCTCTCTGTAGCCTCCCTGGGCCACCTGGCCCCGCCCCAAGCTAAGCTGGGGGCTCCCCTGCAGGGGACTTAATTTGCTCCTGTGTTGGGTTCCAATCCAGCCTAGTGTGGGTTCCTTGAGGGCCCCTGGGCCCAGTGCTGGGTCAGGCCCAAAGTGGGAATTGGCTGACCGGTCTGGAAAGCCCCGAGTGTCCCCCCTCCCCCTTTTCCCTTGGTCCAGGGACCTCCCTCTGCATCCTCAGGCCCCACCCCCAGGGGCCGCCCCGCCCCAGCCAGCCCGGGGCCTTCAGCACAGGCCGGCAGCTTTCAAAGCACAGACTCCTGCTGCCATTCTCACTGCCTCCGCAGGTTCTCTGAGGCCCTGGATGCTGGCCTCCACCCTGAGGTCAAAGCAGGAGCCCCTCTTGCCTGCTTCTTAGCGCAGAGGGGCTTCCAGGGCTCCCAGGCTGGCCCTCAGATGTCCTCACTGCCAAGGTTCCCTTTCAGCTCGGCCTGCCTGGGCCTCCAGGGCCTCCTGGTCCCCAGGGTCCCCCCGGCCCTGTCATCCCACCCGAGGTACTGCAGAAGGAGTTCCAGCTGCTGTTGAAAGGTAAGGGGTGTGCACCCCAAGCACACACGCCCCTCGTGTGCACGGGGCTGGGGGAGGCGACCCCAGAGGAATCAAGATGAGCTGGACATCCCCTTGTCCGCCAGCACCCAAGGGGGCCTCTGCCCTGTGCCAGGCACACAGACCACCCAAATGACCGGGGTTAGGGGTGGGCAGGGTGTAGTGAGGAGCAGGCCTTACAGAGGAAGGCCACCTGGTGTTTGATAGGTGCTCAGGGATCAGCACCCACATGCCCCCTGGGAGTCGGGTGAGCCTGGCAAAGGCCAGGTGACCTGTATTCCCCAACTGGGGTCTTGTCAGGGAGGGCAGGGCTCCTTATGCTTGCAGAGCGCTCCTTGGATCCCCACGGCAACACCAGGGAGATTTAGGCTCAGCCCGGGTAACACAGGCCCCCTGACCTCTCCACTCAGCCCAGCTTGCCCGGGCTCACCTCTGCCCCTGCCCCTTCTCCAGCGGATCTCAGCTGCTGGTCACAGGGCCCAAGGGAGGCACCAGGAGGCTGCCTGAGTGGGCAGGGGGATGGTGGAAACACGGGGGGGAGCCCCGCCTGGATCTCTCAGTCACCTGTCCCGCACCCCGCTTTCCGGGCTGGGCAGCCAGGTGGAGGCTGCAGAGGGAGCAGGGCTGAGCCCAGCCGCGGCAAGCGTGGGTGCCCAGGAGATGACCTTCCGTGGTGAGCAGCTTACTGCAGTTCATGTTACTATGACAAAGTACAATAGAGTTTGAGCTTGTCCCTTCAATTCAATGCACAGTTCGCTTAGATGTACCAGCTCAGCAGCTGAGGAGCCTCCATGTATTTCCAGTATACCTGCCATAAGTACTTAACTCCACCCAGCTTCCTCCCCAAAATGACCAGGGCCGCTTATGCGACTGCATTCGTTGATACAATAGAAATGGAAATGGGAAGCAGCAGCCGGGAGGAGGAAGTGTGGGCAGGTGGAGGGTGAGGCAGGGGAACACGGACACTGGGCGTGAGTCGGCGCCGGGCCTCCCGAAGTGTGAAGGGAAACAGGTGCGGCCGCGGGATCCGGAAGCAAAGTTTCTTCAGGCCCTGCAGGCCGAGAGGGGGTCTCCCGCGGTCCTGGAGGGCCTGCGCCCGGCGCAGCGCATTCCCTCACCGCAGTTGGTAACGGCCTCCGAGCGGGGCCCGGGTTCAGGGGCTGGGTCGCAGACGCGCGCGGCCAAGGCTCCTCTGTGCCAGGCGCGGTGCGGCAGCGCGAGCGCGCGGAGCCCGGGCCCTGCACGCGCGACCCCGCGGCAGTCGCGGCCACCGCCGGGGAGGACGAGCTGGAGGCGGCGGGCGTGCTGGCGTTGCTGGCCGCGCCCCGGGCCCTGGGCCCGCGGGCGCCGCGCGTCGAGGCTGCCTTCCACTGCCGCCTGCGCCGGGACGCGTGGGTGGAGCGGCGCGCGCTGCACGAGCTCGGCGGCTACTACCTGGTGAGTCCGGGCCGGGAGGGCAGGGGCGGCAGGGGCGGCCGGGGCGGGTGCCCCCAGGGCCGGGATAACCGTCCGTGCGCCCTGCAGCCCGACGCCGAGGGCGCCTTCCGCCGCGGGCCGGGCCTGAACCTGACCAGTGGCCAGTACGCGGCGCCCGTCTCCGGCTTCTACGCGCTCGCCGCCACGCTGCACGTGGGTGAGGCCCGGCGACGGGGTGGGGCGGGGGCGCCCACGCCGCCCTCGGCGCCCGCCGCCCGTGACCGCTGCCCCTGCCGCCCCGCAGCGCTAGCCGAGCAGCCGAGACGCGGGCCGCCGCGCCCCCGGGACCGCCTGCGCCTGCTCGTCTGCATCCAGTCCCGGTGCCAGCGCAACGCGTGAGTGCATGCGGGGCGGGAGGGCTGGCCGCCGCCTCCCCCTGCCTTCTGCCAGCCGCCCTTCCCGCTTCCCGCGGGGCTTGGAAGGCCCTTCCCTACATCCCCAGCGCCACTGTGGCCCCTCCTTCCGGGTCTCCGCGTCGGCTTCTGCCCCCACCAGGCCTTCCCTTCCAAGCGGCAGGAGCTCCCTGTGCACACTGTCCTGCCCCCTCCTGGGGGCATGGCAGCCCGCAGCCTCCTGGACCCCTGCCCCCCAAGGGACTGACTCTTACGCAGAGGCACCAGCTCAAAGGCCCCTCCTGACCGCCCTGTGCGGCCGCTTTCCGTCCCACCGGCCTGTGAGCCCTGTTCACTACAGTCGGCTCCCTGACCTGATTGTGTCCATCTTCCTGTGGCACTGGTGGTCCGGGAGGGCAGACGCTGCTCCCTGTGTCCCCAGCACCCACAACAGAACCCAGGTACAGAGCAGGTGCTCCCAGTAGTTGTAGAAAGCATAAATGAATTAAGTTCAAAACTTCTTACTCTGGTTTTGAAAGCCCTCCATGGACTGGCCCGCCCCCAGTAATGCATTGGTGCTGCCATGCCCACCGCAGCTGCAGTGCACCCGCCCATGTCCTGTTCCCAGCACAGCCACGACTTTGCTGCCCCCGGCCTTTTGCAGCATAACTTTGGCCCTGTAGTGACTATCCTTACTCCTGCTGGGGACCCAGTTCAGATGCCACCTCCACCAGCGGACCCAGCCAAGACATCCGTTCCCAACACACTTTGCTGGCCCCAGTGTCAGTCAGTGGGGTGATTGAGAGCACACTGTGGGTGCAGTAGGGAGGGGCTGACCCGCCTTCTGTTGTGGCCACAGCTCCCTGGAGGCTGTCGTGGGCCTGGAGAACAGCAGCGAGCTCTTCACCATCTCTGTAAATGGTGTTCTGTACCTGCAGGTGCGTGGAACAGATAGCATGGGGGTGCATGGCCTGGGCCTGGCCACGGGGTGACCAGGCAAGGAGGGGTGCTGGGTGTGTTTGGGATCTCTGGGAGCAGTGCCCTGAGATTCCAGGTCCGGGAGAGGTTCAGGGCCTGCTTGCCGGAGGGCTTGCACTAGTCTAGGTGGAGCCAGGCCAGGCCAGGTCCCCTTCCCTCGTGCCCCACCGGTCCCCATGACTGCTCACCCTCCTCCACAGTCCCTCTGCCCCTCCATCACACTCTGGGACCCCTAAGTGTCCCACATGGAGGACTGGTGCCCCCAGTCAGAACAGGCCCTCCACACCTCAGGCTGACCTCATGCCACCTGGGCCCAGAGTGTCCTTGGGAAGCAGGAGATAGTCATTTCCTACACAAAACCCTAAGTGGCAGTTTCTCTCTGGCACTTGTGGCAATTTGGGAAAGTGGCTGAGAAATGACACAAAGGTGGGGCTTATTAAGACAGAATTGAAGTGCAGATGTGGAATAACAGGTTACAACAGCACTTACTGTGCCAGGCCCTGGTCTAAGGGCTTTACATAAATCATCCATTTAACTATCACAGTGCGTCGAGGCTGGTACTGTTACCCCCTGCTTACAAACAGGGGAACTAAGACACAGAAAGGTTCAGTAACTTGCCTAAGCTCACAGCGAAGCCAGGATTGGAGGCCAGGCTGGCTCCAGTCGGCTGTGGTCGCTGAAAGCCATTTAGAGGCGTGGACCCAGGTACTGCTGGGTGAACTCAGGTGGAACACGGTCCACCTGGGGTCCTAAGATGTGGCAACTTGGGTGGGCCCCCAGTTCTGCATTTCTGAGAGTTCCCAGGGGATGTGACACTGCTGGTATATGGGCCACCTTTGGAGCAGCCAGGCCAGAGTCCAAGTCTCATGCGGCTGTGCTAAACGAGCGAGCCAGTGGCCAGGCCAGGGAAACTCCTCTCTGGCTGGCACACGTGAACTCTAAGGAGCCCATTGGCACAAGGAGCTGGGGGAGTCACTAGGGGTCATAGAGGCACGGGGTTAGAGGGCAAGGCCTGCCAAGCCCTGGTCTGGGACCCTAGGTGGGGCCAAATGGGCCTGGGAAGTGTGGTGAGCTCCCTGTGGGATCTGGGACGCCCCTGCAGGCCTGCAGTATCCAGGCTGACTCTGAACCCCGGCTTCCCCTGCAGACTGGGCAGTACGCCTCTGTCTTCCTGGACAATGCCAGCGGCTCCTCCCTCTCAGTGTGCAGTGGCTCCCACTTCAGTGCTGTCCTCCTTGGCGTGTGAGCAGCCACGCCAGGCCCTTCCTCTTGCCCAGCAAACGGGAGCTGGAGTTCAATCAATCTTGGCAGTGTTGGAGCAGCCAAGGCCCCACACAGGAGGAAGCTCCTTGGAGCTGCCCAAATGGCCACCCGCAGCCCAGATGGCCACTGCCAGCAGTCCAGGCGGGTGACATGCACACTGGTGGTCCTAGAAACCAGGAGTGACTTCAGGATGCCATCTTTGAAAAGTGAAAAAGCCCTATTGAGCTGTTTATCCAGGAAATATTTCCAGCAACGTTCCGTGTGTCCGGGAGCACATGCTTTGTCCTGGCTACAGAACCAGCCCCTCCTGGCCCTTGGGAATGTTGCCCACAGCCTCAGCTGCTTTGCCGTGGCCCCGCCCCGCCTTTCCATCTTGGTGTGTTCACAGGCTGCTGGGAGCAGCAGCGCAGGGGGAAGGTCTGGTCAGCCTGCCTGGTGTCCCGTGGAGGACGGTGGCCGGCATGGGGCCAAGGAGCCTCCAGCAAGTGCTGCGAGGCCTGGCCAGTGTGGGCAGCAGCCTTCCCACCCCCACCCCGTTTCTACTGGGGGGCCCCCTGGTGTCAGGTCTGCCATGACCACGGGACCCCTTGGCCCAGCAGCCTCAGGCCCCAGACATGGAGGGGCCTCAGTAATAGCCTGGGCCCGGCTGTTTTCACTGCTGTGTGCAAGTTAAGCCCACATTCACCTTGCAGTCGCCTTTTCAAGTAGGAGCTGCACTTCCTGTCCTCTGTAAAGCCTTTCAGAGACAAAGTCCCTTTCCCATCCCCTGGAGGCTGACTCTGCTGGGACCCACCCACCAGATGGAAAGATCTAGCACAGCTCTACAGATCAGAGATGGCCAGGACCTGCCCACCCCTGCAACAGATGAAGGAGAGGCTTCTACAAGCTGGTAGTTCCAGTGCCCACCGCTGGCTTTGCTGGGTCGGCTCTGGGGTTCTCCCAAACCTCTTACCTACTTATGTGGAAATGCAGCCCAAGTCCAGCCAGGTGGAGGTGATTAAGAGCTGTTCTTGGCAAGGCTGGGTACCACTGCTGTAGCGATGATGGAGGCGGGGTGTTCCTGTCAGCCTGCAGCCCAGACCCCCCACCGCCTGCTGAGGAAGTCACCCCAACCCCCATCTCTACCCGCACCATGGGTTACAGGGACCTGGTGCCACTGCCTGGGGGTCCCAGCCAGTCTTAGCAAGGATGTTCAGGCCCGAAAGGGAAAGGGGCAATGGCTGCAGGCACTTTAACTTTCCAGCAGGCCTCAGGATTAAGTGACTGCAGCCTGGCCTGAGTGACCCCCAGGAGCCCAACGCTTCCATCCCCTCACTCAGCATCAAACACCTCCCTCCCAGCCAGGGGCTCCCAAACACAATATACACCCAGCCACTCTATGCCTTTTGGCAGGCCTGGTGGGATTCTCGGTAGGACTTGTGCCCGCCCTACCAGGAAGCCTCGCTGGCCTATGTCCAGCTTCCCCACGCGCTTTGATAAGGGGGGTGGGGCCACACCCTTTTCTGGATTTCACTTTGTATCCAGCCGGCACAGGTATTTCAGAGAAGTTATCTTTTACCCTTAAGGAAGCCATAGATATTTTTCCTCTTCTCAACATATATGTACAGCATACAGCAATCTATTGAAGTATTTACTGCATGATACTGCCAAGTGGATGTATTTATATATATCTGACTTTATAAGGTGGTTCAAGTACTTAAGAATTGTGTTACGTGATTTACACAAGGTTATAAAAACGGGAAATCTTAAAATACCGAATCTTAGTCATTAAGGCCAGGCCCACTGAGGCTAGTCTGGATCCCATGGAGGCACAGGGAGGGGGGTCTGGCCAGGGAGACCAGTGCCAGGCCTCCCCAGCACAGGCACAGTGGCGCTTGGGAATCAGGGGCCTGAGGGTTGCAGACTGACACCCTGTCTGCTACAGGGTGATGTTTACTGAATAAGCTATTTCCTGAGGCGCTGAGGCCCCTTTCAGTGCTGTACTGTCCTGAGCAGAACTGGAACCTGGTTCTTAGCTCTCCAGGGAAGGGCGTGCTCGAAAAGTCCCCCAGGGCACTTGTAGCAGGGACACCAGTCCCACTAAGCTGAAACGGTGATAAGACTTGTGACTTGTGCCAGTGCTGGGCAGGGAGCCAGTACAAAACAGCTGCTTCAAATGCAAATTTCCAGGATCTTACATCATCCCCTGCTAGAAAACAACTACAGCAATAATGACCACCTGTTTTTTTAACATACGAACAAACACTTGAAAAGTATTTTAAAGCTTGTTCTGTGTAGGCTCGCCATGGGATTTTTAATGTCTTTCACAGAAGGGTCATCCTTTGAGGTGTTGCAAAGATCAACATCCGCCAGCAGAGAGCCCCCTGAACACACATTTCTAAGACAGGGAGCAGGCTTTAGAGGCCGGACTCAGCAGCAGCTTGACTGCTGAACGGCGGGGGGGCGGGGGGACCGGGATCCAGATGTGGGGCCTGCAGCTGGACTGTACCCATTAATGGCATCAGAAATAAGTGGGACTCAGTGCTATGTTCAGAGGGCCTGTTGGGGGCAGGTTATGCTCCCAAGTAACAGCCTGGCCTATAAGCCTGGGATCATACAGGGTGTTTACAAGGTGTGAACACCAAGACTTTCATATGGAGAACAGGAAAGCCCTGAGTCTGCCCTCTGGGCCAGTCATCACCTAACCTCCTCACTGTGAAGTGCCACTTCCCCAGCCAGGGTCAGCACGGGGATGGAGCAGCCCAGGTGCAGTGCCCGTGAATGACAGACTGCCACTTGGCCGCAGCTTGTGGGTTATTATGACAAGTCAACAGCCCAAGATGCCTAGAATGGTTTAAATGAGGGAAGACTCAGAGCATATTAAAAAGCAAACACAATCTCCAAAAGGTCAAGAGTTGCTCAAAATGCAGTAAGAGAACTCAAAAGATTAGAAAAAAAAAACTTTATTTACAAGCATGTGAGTCCCACAGGAGTACACGAAACACACAACATGTGCACACATACAATGAACCTCTGACGTCAGCGCCATGCCCTCCCAGCCACATCCTCAGTGTCCGATCTGCACCACCATCACGGTGACATTGTCTGCAGAGCCCCGCTGCACCGCCTTGCTGGCCAGCCTGTTGCAGGCTGCTTCGTAGCGGGCGTCAGTGGCGGGCTTCCCCTCTCGGCTCTGAATCTTCTCATCCTACCGGACAGGGAACAGCATGGTGAGCAGGGGAACCAGCACCCCATCACTCCCCGAGACACCACTGCCACGAGAACTGCTCCCTGCTCTCCAACTGACAGGTCAGTCCCTGGGCTCACTGGCAAAATGTACAGGGGACGGACATAGGAAGGACGGGTGTCCAGACTTCTCTGAAACGCCAGTGCAGCTGGGGCGACTGGCTTGTAAGACTCCTCACCTCAAGGCAGGACAAGATGAAGTTCACAGCTTCCTCCGGGGTGAAGACTTTGAAGAGGCCATCGCAGGCCAACAAAATGAACCTACGACATGGGAACTACGGTTAACCCAACTGCTGAGTGCTGCACATCCTGAGACAGACAAGGAAAATCACCCTGTGGTATGATAAATATATGCTGAATTTCTGCCACCACATGTCATACCTTGAGCCACTTCCCAAAGAAGTAAGATGACAGTCTCCGCCTAAATGGAATGGCCTTGGGTACTCACCACCCACGTGAAGGCTGAGTGTCCAGCACCCACCTCCAGATGAAAACACAACCATCTTCTCATCAAAACCCCACCCCTCTCACTTCCCAGGGAGGTCCCTCTCCTCACAAGGGATGAGAAGTAACAGTTCTCATTCTCTAGGAGTCGAGAACGTGTCCCCATAGCTTTAAGGTGTAATTGCCTTCCCTTTCTCATTCTAACACCCAGGTCTTGGTTTTCCCCTTCCAGTGAGGTGACAGACCCCAGGTAGCTGGTCACAAACCACAACCACAACCCAGAGCAGCAGGAGCCAGCACAGCATGTTTGTCAGGTTACCTTCTCCCCAGGCACCTTTGGGTGATGCACAACTAGACAGGGGGCCTCTCTACCCACCTCCCATGATTCTCCACCAATTATAAGCTATAATTCAAACCGCTCAGCACAGCACTCAGGGTCAGCCGCAGTCTGACCCTGAGACGCACCGCCATCACCTTCCCACCACTCCCCCACTGGCATCTGCTGGGCTGTGTTCTTCCGCTGTCCTCCCTTAATGCCTGCATGGAGTCCTCCTGCCAGAAACCCCTCTCCTTTCTCCAACAAAGACATTGCCCTTATACGGACAAAGCCTTCCAGAGCACCCATACATGTGTGCTCCCCTAGCAGACTGTGGACCCCAGCAGAGCAGAACTGTATCTCACTCATCTTGGTACTGCCAGGGCCCAGCACAATGCCGAAACCATGGCTGTCCCCACCCAACATTCATTACGAACTGGAAAAAGTTGTAAAGAGAAGACAAGCCACATGTACGCGTGCCTGTCCCTCTGGCGGGTCAATTCACCTGTCATTGGGGGTTAGCTGGCAGCGTCTGATATCTGGCACAGATGTGACCCCACAACGCTTGTACTGCCCGTCCCCGATAGAGCGGGACACCTCCAGCACACCCAGAACACGTCCATCCCTAAAGTGAGAGGAAAAACATTTTAAGACCCTGACAGATCATGGGTCCACAGCACTTCCAATCTGATCTTAAAAGCAGAAAAATGAGGAGTGGAAGATACAACCTGTAGAATTCATATTAACCAGTACTGACATCTCTTAGCCACGTCTACACACATTTGTGCTGAGCCTTCATGGCTCTAGGTTATTAACATTCCTGGCACCTCAGCCCAGCTACAAGCTGATGGGAGCAGCACCTGCCCAAACCCGCCGATTTTGCCCATGGCCCAGAGACCGGACTGGGTGGGGGCCTGGCTTTGTCTTTGTGTTGTGAAGCTTCTCAGGTGATT